CCAAAACCACACTTTGAATGATAAGGCTTTAAACTAATTTTTGCTTATGCCTAAATTCAATGTTGTCTTAATTTAAACTTGTCTGAGTCTCAAACTAAACTAGACTTTTTCATGGAACACCACTTTAAAATATGAACTTTATTCAGGTTTGAGTATTAGGAAAACATTTTTTCTAATATGAACAAAGTGAGCCCATCACTCAAATGAAGACAATTTGTATCATTTGCTGCCAATGAAAAAATTCATGTTTTCAAGCAAAAATTAGACGTTTGGAAACGTAAAATGATCATCATGAGCTTAAAGTATCCCAATAGTTGATAGATGCTTAATAAAACATGCTTCTAAAGCCAGATTTTGCAAAAATGAAAAATGATGCAATCTTCTCACTTTGTTTTTTTGGAAAATATGGCTATTTTCCATAAAAATGCATTATTTACATTAATATGTAATAGTTTTATTGTTATTTTAAATGAACTAAAATATTTTCTAAGTTTGTTTTAATTTCTAGTGCAGTAAACTTTCATGTAATCCACATAAACAAAGCTCTTCTGGATCCTCAATACTTTTTAAAAGTGTAAAAGGATCCTGAGACCAAAATGTTGAGAACCACTGGTTTAAACTAACTCTTCTTAGCCTCTCATTTTACATATGAAGAATTGGAGGGACAGGCACATGCCCAAGATCATTTGGAAGGTTGGTGACTAGGTTTCCTGCTTTTCAAGCTCATTCATTTAGTCCTCAGTATGTTCCTGAAAAGGGATGCCAGAATTACCTGATGTAGCTGGACAGCACATGGACCTTGGAAGTCTTTGTCTTTATTAACTGTAAAAGAAAAGAAAATCACTGTAGGACCTCAACCCCAGCTCTGTAGCTCCTCATTTGTCTGGCCATTTAGGAGCCAGCATCCCCTCCAGGTCACCAGGCCCTGTCACTAGCACACAAATGAAGCTAAGGCATCTTATGTGGGGCAAGAACCTCAATCAGTTGGTCTTTGCTAATTTTTCATTGGAACCTTGGTCTTAATCTTTAAAAAACCCCATTCCTCTCGTCCTCACTCACCAACAGGATCTCAGTGGCTTCTTCTATTTCTCCATTCCAAAAGTACCTGGAGAAAAGAAAACCAAATTATGACGCTCATAAGACAAGCCCAGTGAAATGTCAAATCTGGCCCAGTTAGGTAACTTACTGAGGTGGCCAAGGTGCTACAGGTCATCTAGTCCAGCGTTCCCCAACCTTTTTTGCACCAGGGACCTGTGCTCCTACGAGAATCTAATACCTGATGACCTGAGGTGGAACTGAGGTGCTGATGCTAGTGCTGTGGAGCGGCTGCAAATACAGATGAAGCTTTGGTCACTTGCCCGCTGCTCACCACCTGCTGTGAGGCCTGGTTCCTAACAGGCCACAGACTGATACTGCTCCATGGCCTGGGGGTTGGAGACCCCTGATCCAGTCCAACCATTCTAACAAATGCTTATAGCACCTGCCTGAACTTTGTGGAGGAGAGAAGCTCACCATCTCTTGAAGTCCATCTATCGTAAAGGTTTTCACATGAGGTTTTTCTTATGGTGTGCCAACATCTGCCACCCAATTGTTTTACCCAACTTCCACATGAAGAACCACCTCAGGCAAGCCCTGCAGAAAGTCCAAAGTTTTCTCTCCTCCAAACTGGGCATCTCCAGCTCTTTCAACATTCATTCTATACTCATGGCTTCCAGGACCCTCCCCATCCTTTGGACTGGTGCTCCTTTTATCACTGATTCTCAAAGTTGAATGCCCATGAAAGGATAAAGAGCACAGGAGGCTTCAAGGAAGAAATGAGACTTATAAGATATGGAAACAGATCCAAAAATTAAAAGTCAGTGATAAGGTTCAGAAAAGAGTATGAGAACAGCATCATGTGAAAGGAAGGGAAAGGAATTTGGCCTGAGAATATCTACACTGACTGAGCCAAGGCAAGACTAAGATGACCTAGGCCACTGGCCCTGTCTCACAGAGCTGTGGTAAAGGGGAGGATGGACATACAAAGGGAATGCTAGGCTGAAACTCTATTCTAGTTCCCAAGCATTGATTCTCAGACTGGCTTTATGTGAATCACCTATATAAGTTTTTAAAAATTCAGAGACCCAAGCCCACTCTTGGGGAGACTGATTGAGCAGACCTAGGATGGAGCCTAAGAATCTAAAGCACAGCCAAATTTGGGAGCCATAGCAAAAGACGATGTGAACCACTGAGGCAACGTCATCATTGGCGAGAGCTTTCACTACATAGCCTTTTCCTGTTTTGACCTTCAGAATAGAAATTATTTCTCTCTCCCCTCTCCCCCTTCCATTCTCTCCCTCTCTCTTTCTGGAAGGGAAGGAGATGAGAAACAGGCTGATCAGAGAAATTAAGGCATAAGACAAATCCTGCACAACTAGTACTGGGATGCTAAAATATTTTGCTGAGAAAAATGGTACAGACCAGGCTTAACTAAAGTGAAGGTGTTAATGAAATGAAAGGCAGACAATACACAGAAACAGGCTGTCACATATGCTAAACTCTCAGTTTTCCAAAGAATCTAAAAGCAATGGAAATTATGTTCTTTGATATCCCTAGTTGGCTTTTTCAGGGATAGAATGCCCAGTCTGACTTCTTTGCTAACAGCAAGCTAATTGACTTAAGTAAAGAATGCACAAACAAGATTCCTAAACTGTAGGGTTTTTTTCTCCTTTCTCTATACACAGCCTATTTTTGCTTTTGCTCATAGATGACATAAACCCACTGGTTGATTTCCTTTGAATACAAATCAACAGTGAATGTTGATTAATTAAATGCCTTTGAGTTGTTCTTTGATGATTTCCCATTAGTTCAGTACTCCTTCCACCAGCCAGACCTGACTTAGCACCCCCACACCCCTCCACTATCCATAGCAAGACTCACAGTGAGGATGCCTTGGGCAGGATGTTCACAGAGGCAGCCAGCTTCTTATCCAGTATAGCCCTAAAGCAAAGAGAGTGAGTCACTGGAGCAAGTGTCCAAGATCCTAAGAGAAGGGACAGGAGTTCCTTGGAATTACCCAGGAAACCTGAGTCTAACTAGATAACCATTTAGAGTGCCCCTCCTCCCTCAAACCAACACTTTCCATACCACCATGCACAAGAGAGAGCTTTAGAGGTTTCTAAGTCCTCCCCTGGGTGGGGAGAGAAGTAGGGAAGCAACTGTGAGAAGGTGGTTTTAAGGATAGGCCCTGTCTGCTTGGGGAATGGAATTAACTCTGGATGGAGAACAAGAAGACCTAGATTCAACTCCTGACCCTGCAGTAGGATGGCTGTGTGACCTTATGCAAGTTCATTCTCTCATTCCAGGAATAAGTATTCGAGCACCTATCCAAGATAGGCACGTCACCCTCACTCAACCTGATTCTCCTGCTATACAATGAGAATTGATTCAGCCAGTCATTGGTTTTGAACCCTTATCATCACCAAGATCTCTTTTTATTATGCCAGCTTCTTCTGCTTTTATCTCTCAGATATGTATCCAGCTGACACTCAGTGCTTCTGATCTGTAGAAACTCATATGACCATATAGAATGGCTACTCCAGGCAAAAGCAAAAAAAAAAAAAAAAACCAAAATCATTATAATTGTTTGTCTTTGCAAAGGTTTCTATCACAGCCCTAAAAGCACAATCATCACCTTTGCAGACCACTAAGGTTTTTTTTATTTTTTGACAGACCACAGGTTAGAATTCCTGGTCTGAAAATCTCAGATTCCTGTGCAGCACCCTCGTGAACACAAAAATGTACTTGAACTAGTACAGGTGTCATAGAAACAGCAGCACCATCAAGTCATTAATGAAAAGTGTTCCCAAGCATCAAAACCTCAAGGCCCCAGAATCAGGCCGGCCCTGACAAACCTTTCTCAGGTCTCAGGCAGCCAAGGGAGCCTGGTATCTGTTCTCTGAAATGCTTAGATCTTGCCAAATAAACCTCATCTGAGTCCTATTCACTGATCCCTCCTTCCCTCAGCTGCTGCCAAGAGACCTGACCCACTTTCTCTTCCTTTGAGTTCTAGGCTAAACAGTGCTCTATTTAAGGCTCTGCATTAATGTGGCATTACCACCACCCTCATTCCTTTGCAAAGCTCCAGGAGCTAAATAAATCCCTGACTATAAGGAGAGGCACATGGCACAAATTTGTTTAAGCAACTGCTGAGAGTCTTGCTCACTCAATCATGTGCTGAGAAATTACATTTTATTGGTTCTGAACGTGGCAAGCAAACACAGGGAGTGAGTTAAACCTCTAGAAAAATATTCTATTGACTTCACAGGCCCTTTCCAATCTCTTAGGAAGTGTGAACTCCTAAGAGAGCATAGCAACCTGTCCTTAGGTAAAAGACTATACAGATCTGAGGAGGACCATGTTAATCAAAAATCTCCTATGGCCAAAATAAATAAATTAAAAAATAAATAAAAATAAAAGGAGAGCGAGAGAGCATGCAAGCTCATTGAGAAAATACACACTCAAGACCAGCAGCTGAGTCACAGATAGGGCGCTCAGGCCCTCAAGCTCGCCTGAGGAAAGCAGGAGGTAGCAGCCTAGAGCGAGGGCCTCTAGAAATTGCAAAGTTCACAGACTAGTGGCTCACAGAGCAGAGACATGGTTTGCCTCTCATGGCATTTTTAAAAATCTTGACTGTTATCAGAATTTACTACTAGAATATTTCGTATGCAAAAAAAGATTATCTAGCTTCTCATCAAAAATTGAGTCTTATAACATTGGACTTGTAAGATCACATTGACCTAGAGCTGAGTAAGGGCTACTCCATCTAGGCATGGCATATTTTTCCCAGGTCAACCCAGTTTTAATTGCTTTTTCCTCTTAAAACCTAGGTAAAGAGTAAGGACTGCTCTCTACCATCATCCTGCATTGTCACACCCAGCCTACTTCACTCATTTAAGTAACCTGTCTATAGGAATTTGTGCTTGTGACCTTGGCCTAATGCAATTCCCTCTCTCTGCATATGAGATCGAAGCCCAGAGAAGAAAGACTTGTCGAAGATCCTATGTGATGTTGGCAGCAAAGAGGACACTAGAATCCAGGTCTCCTGATTCATTATTCGGGATTTTCATCCTGACTCCAAAAAGAGATTAACATGTGTCTGTCAATGAAGAGATCTAAGAACATTGCCAGGAATCAGAACCAAAATGAACCGAAACTGAGAGGCAGCAGACAAAACTCTACAGAACCCTAAAGAATAACTAAACAAGCTGAAGGGACCTGGTCTCAAACTGATTCTGTAGCTAAAGCTGGGGTTCTTGCCAGCTAACATTTGTGGGGCCCTCCCCACCATGTACCCATTTATTCTCCCCTTCTACAAATCCCAGGAATCAAACCTGTTTGTCTCTCTTCTATCCAAATCACTAATAAAAAATACTAAACAGAACAGGCTGAGGTGAGAGCTCCACAGCCATATCACCGAAGACTCCATTTCAAACTTTTAGTTCGACTTGGTGGACCGAACACACGCTGCAACCACCCCTTTTACACCAAACCCTAGAAATGAGAGAAAATACTTACTACTTAACCATGCCGGAACACATTAACCACGTCCGAACCCAAACAGCCCCCTTGACGTGCATGGGAGCATGTGCGGGACTGCCCCACAGAGAGGAGAGCAATAGTCTGTATCGGAGATGATGGAAACCAGAGCAGACAGGAACTTGGAGGCAACCATCAAGGTGAATTGTTGAAATGCTATGGCAGGAGAAGGTGGACCCCCTAAATCTCTCATGGCCCAGGCAGCAGTAACGGGGTGTCTGTCTCCAGGAAGGAGCAGTCAATGTAGTCACTTTGAGAAAAAAGGCAAAACAGTGTCCCAGAAGCTGGCAACAGCCATGGACAAAAGGAAGAATTCATGCCCAGAAGGTAAGTTACTACAGCACCCCAGACTGTAGAGTGTCCCCAGTCCACACTCACATTGAAAACAGTGCTGCCTAATGACAATTCCTAGTAGCTGTTCCTGTGCGTGGAGGCGCATAACTAAAAAGGTGAGAGAGGTTACAATTAAGAATGGCAAAGTATTTGAGGAAAGTCAAAACCAAGAGAGACAAAACTTCAACAAAAGAATTTATATAAGAGGAGGACATAACAGGACATTCAACATCAAGATTTAAAAATAAGTATAATTATGTATACTTCAAAGTTGCTAAGAGATTAGATCTTAAAAGTTCTCACCACAACAAAAAGGTAACAGTGTGAGGTGATAAATGTGTTACCTTTATTGTGTAATCATTTTGCAATATACATATGTATTAAATCATTTGTACATCTTAAACTTACAATGTTATATGTCATTTATACCTCAATAAAGGTGTAAAAATTAAAAATAAGTATAATTAATATTTACAGAAATATAAGGCAAGGTTATTGCATTCATAAAATAAAATCTGATCAAAATAAGATCAGACAATTATGAAACATGAGCAGTTGGGTATTAAAGAACAATTAGAAATCTTGGAAAGGAAAATTATTATTGTTTAAACCAAAAACTCAATGAAGGGTTGAATTGCAAAATAGATACAGCTGAAAAACAAACAGAAGACTGGGCTCAGAAATTCTCCCAGTGCGCAGAATAAAGGAAGAGAAAAATATAAATGGTCAGGAACAGAGAACAAATTCAACATCTATCAAATAGGAGTTCCAGGAAAAGGACACAGAATGAAGAGAGAGAATATTTAACAAATTAATAGCTGAACATTAAGATAAAGAGAAAATCCTAAAAATTACCAGAGAGAAAAAGCATTACCTACAAAGAAATGAGACCCTGATAAACACTTGACTTCTCATCAACAATCCTGGATTCAAGAAGACAATAGAGACCTCTCTCCAAGCTGATACTGATCCATTTATTTGAACTGGCCTTTCAACCAGTTAGAATCCAGGCGTTAGAATCCTTTCCTCCCAACGCCAAACCTCCTCAATGTCAGCTGAAGGTGTTCCCTGAAAGGATCCCCAGTGGCTGTTCCAGGGGTCCAGAGAAAAGACAGTTCAGTACAGACCATAGGCATACCAGAAGCATCAGAAGTAATTTTAATTCCTAGCTGCTAAATACTATGGTTGTATTTCTAGAGTAATTGCAGGTTCTTTTAGATAAGAGCTATTCTTCAAAGGTAATGTTAATGAGAGAGAAACACACCGGAGGAAAAAGAGATGGAATCAAATGCAGTGTTAACCTGTGACCAGCAATTTAGAGGTTGCATGCTCCCAAAGACCAGATTCAACATTTTAAAACACTGTAACTTCATCTGTCATCAACTTTAAGAATGCTGAATTGTGGAGCAAGAAGAAAAAGAGCAAGGAGCCAAATCCATGACCCTCCAGCTCCATTAACCCTCTTCAAAGCTGCATCTCAAAGAGCAATGAACAGGGGGATATTCAGATATCACAAATATTGATTGAGCATCTACTACATGCAAGTTACTGGAGTAAGGATTGTACATATTTTATATCATTTAATCCTCACAACAATCCTGTGAAGTAAGTGACATTATCCTATTTTTAATTCAGAAAACTAATGCTTAGAGAAGAGGAAGCGACTTATCTAAGTTAACACAGTAAGTGGTAAAGCCAAGATTCAAACCCTGGTCTGCTTTAGAAGTCCAGCATTCTTTTCCCTCATACCACAGGTGCTTCTAGAAATTTTCTAAATACTTAGAATGGCCTCCTCCTCCTTACTTGTCATAGTGAGCACCTCTGGGATTGAGCAAAGAGAATATCTCCAAGAAGAAAGACAGATGGGCTAGAAATTAGGAGACTTAAAATTTCAAGCAGCAGGATTCCACGTTATCTTAACACCTTGGACAAGCCACCTATCTCTCTGAGTCTCATATCCCTTATACGCCCCCATGCACCACTCAACATATTCAGGCCCAGCAGCAGGATCTGCCAGGTGATCATTCGGCTATGTTCCTCATATCATCCTAAGCAGATAGCTATGTAGTTCATCATCTGATGGATGGGGCAAGAGAATGGTCCCTCTGGAGCATGCTGGTTGCTCCCTGAGCCTCCTGGGGCAGCATCTAAGTTCAACCATACCTGGCAATATCTCTGGCAATTTGCTCATTGGGACAGTTGACAAAGACGATGGAGTAAGTGCCAGAGACATAGCTGCCGGTGACAGCTGAACGGAGCTGCAGGCTAAGGGTCCTGAGCATAGGGTATGTCAGGAAAGACGCTGCCAGGATCTAAATGGTAGGAAAAGAAAAGCACAGGTCAGCAGTGACATGACCAATTCTGCCAGCTCTAGCAGACTGGAACCAAGGCTGGGCATCATTTTCTCATGCCCATTCCCTATCCACAAAATTATTCCTGTAATCTCAAGCTTTATTTAGTGCTTAACAAAGTTTTCATGCCTAGATATTTTCCTTCACATTTTGCAGATAAAAAAGCAGAGGCCCAGAAACCACGAAGTTTGCTCAAAAGCACATAGCTTTTAATTGGTGAAGCCAGGATTAGGACTTGGGTCTGGATGACCTGAAATCCACTCCTATTATACAGAAGTGCTACTGGAGGTGATGCAAACTGGCACCCACCAAACTGCGATAACCCTGTGGAGATAATAATGGTGATAAGCTCTTACATCTATTGCTGTTTTAGGGAGTTAATTTCACCTCCATTCATTTGTATATGTGCCAGGCATGGTGGGTAGGCTAGTGGAAAAGGTAGCCTAACTCTAAAGCAATGTGACCTTTGCTACTAAAACTGAGAGCTGGGGGGACCATGAGGAAGGCTCTACCTGAGGGAGCAGGAAAAGGTTTCAAAGAGAAGGTATCATCTAAATTGGATCTGAAACAACAAGTAGGATTACGAGAGGAGAGGGAGACACTCTAAGCAAACAATAATATGTATAAATTCAAGAGGTATTTAGGGATAGATGAGATATACAGTCCACTTCGGTCTTAGTCTGTGGGTATGAGAACAGCAGGAAATGAGACTGGCTAAAACGATAAAGAAATGGGTCAAGCAAAGGAGTTTGTAGTTTGTACTCAAGTGAGAGGGTATTTTTGGAGGTTTTGAAGTAGCAGAGTAATAATAAAGTGAAGCCAAGTAGTGTATCAGGAGGGAAGATGGGGAGGAGCAGAAGATAGCCTACTTAGAAGGCCATTACCATGATCCAGGAAAAAGACTAAGATCCTGAGCTACGAAGATGGCAATGAAGTGAGAGAACAGACATTTATGATAAAATTTGTCTTACTATTTTAATGATAAGCATTTTAAATAAGAAGAAATAGAAAGAATTGGAGAATACATTCCATTCCAGGGCCCTCTGCTTGGAGGATACAATGGAGTCATTAATAGGGATAGAGGTAATTTACAAGGAGTTCCACTGTGACTTAGCCAGCCTGAACAAGAGCGCGTTTCTCCTGCCTCCCAGCCTAGGGCTCACGCCTTGCTCAAATAAAACTCTGTCCTCCCACTCTTTTTATGCTATCGCCTAAGTCCTGGCTCCCACTTCTTGGCAGGGCCTGAGTGTTTTTATGTCTTTAGCTTCAGTTTGATTTATGGCCTGTCTGGATTGGGTCTCTCATTCCCTCCTACTGCCTCCACTACCTCCTCCTCCTCCTCCTCCTCCTCCTTGCCTCTCATTGGGGACACTAGTGCCAACTGCATGGGGACAATTATGCAGATCATCCAACAGGCTATCGGCATCTGAACCAAACCAGCAACCATGTAAGAAAAAAGAACCACCTTTCAATGAAGCTTTTTCTCTGTACGTGTGCGTGCGCAGTATTTAAATCCTAGTGCCAGTACTGCTTACTGCCTGTGGCCTTCAAGAAGTTACTTCCTATCCCATAAACCTGATATAGAAATTGGAGATTATGACACTTGTGCTGCCTATCTGAGTTGCCATGGGTTCAAAGGAGATAGGAAAATAACTCATAATCATAAACAAAGGGACCACGCTTTGCTCATCGCTGTATCCCTATCAGTTCACGGCACACACCAGGTTCTCAATAAATACTTACTTGTAAACTGGCAAATTAATTCACCAGGAGGATGTTATTAAAATTAAATAGCTTTGTGAAGCAGGTAAAGCTTTTGGCAGCTGTTAGCAATGCTTTTAGCAGAGAACTGGACATACTGTAAGGTGTCAACTACATGACTCTAAGGTGGCTTTCAGCCTAGACTCCAAACAAAAGGAGCAAAGACCTGTCCCCCAACTAAAAAAGCCATTCCTAGGGAAGATATGGGGCATTTCAGCTAGCAGTTATCAGTGCAACAGAGGTGAGAGAATTACATATAAACTCACCTAAAATGTATTGAAACTCTCATACGAACTCATAGTCTTCCATCTCATGAGATCTTCCATTCAGTCATTTCTGTATTCCTGGCACTTCACAACTTTGACAGGGAGTATGGGCTTAAGAAATCTTTGTGGACCATATCAACAAAGTATCAGAAACAGGGAAAGTCAATTTGAAACCAAGAGTGGACTACAATATATCACAGAGTGACATTATATGAATGCGCAATTGATGGAAAATAGATCACAAGATTCCCTTATAGGAACATTATGAGAAAAGATTTACTATATATTTATTTTAAAAAGTTTTCATAACATTTTCCTATTTTTCTATTACTACATAACTTTTTCTGTTTTCACATTCTTTTAAAATATTTTGTGTATCTTTTCAGTTAGTTCATTTTTCCTCTTGCCTTTTTATGTCCTGGCGTATTTGCACAGCCTCTAAGAAGTTATGGTTGACTTTACAGTCTGTGTTAAGGCAGAAGGGGACTCAGAAACCACCTAGTGGCTCTAAATTTATAATCCACCTAGTTTTAAGGAATCCGTGAATATTCTGAATGAATACAACATTGTTTATACATTTTCCTTGGGTACAAATCCAGAACTTTCAAGAAAATCTAATGTCCCCAAAAGGTTAAGAGCCACTAATCTGTGCACTGTTACAGATGAAGAAATAAAGGCCAGAGAGGGGAAGAAATCACCCAAAAGTGAGCAGCAAAGCTGGGCTAGAGCCCTGGGCTTCTCACCCTCTCCTGCAGTTCTTTCCACCTCCCCTTCAACCACCTGGACTACTGGAGATACTCTGTAAACAGTCACTTCCAACCTTAACATTTTAAAACAGTTCTGGGATGAGAAAACAAAACCTCCGGAAAAATACAGAAAAACAAGATGGTAACTGCACTAGGAGGAAAAGAATCTATCATGTGACAGGTAAACGAGAACTCACCACCAGACACCCCGTCACCTCTCTGACACTGGCAGTGAAACACAGCCCAGTCACCCTTTGGCACAAAGAGTGAAGAAGGGGTACTGGGAAGCTTCAGGACCACACCACAATCTCCAGGACACTGGGGGGTGCCTCCAGGGGTTTTACTCTTCATCCCCTACCTGCTTGACCCCAGCTCAAAATTCCAGGAGCAATAAAGAGAAAAATGCCTCCTTCCCTTAGTCCACAGGTCGGAGGTTTAAGGGTGCGGGTGTTGGTAACATCGTAGTGTGGGGCACTCACCAGGAGGCAAATAAGAACAGAGGGCCTCAGGTAGCCTGGCAGAGGGCACCGTGAGCCCAGCCTATCCATGGCGTCGCTGGTAATTTAGCGGCACAGCGGCAGCAAATGTGGCCTCAGGCTTTGCCAGTTGCAGGTTAGAGGGGCGGACACTGAGAATTTAACCCTCTCCTCCTCCCCACTCTGCCTCCACCTGCTGCCTGCCAGACAACCCAGTGGGGCCCCAGAAAGGCTGGCTAGAATGAGAGTGGAGGGGGCGGGGAAAGAGGGAGGAATTTTCCCTAGACTACCCTCTCCCTACAAACATACAACCCAAGCACCATACCCAGATCTTCAACCCTTACAAAACTAATACTAATTTTCCCTCCCCATTATGACAACAAAATCGTAAAATCCTGAGATGTATAGATAAAATGACAGAAGTTTGTTAGGTATATAAAACCTTCAGCAAGTACAGCACATCAACATTAAGACACACACACTAAACTCTTGCTTGATAAAGGCCGGGCTGGCCAACAAAAACAGGTGAAGCACACTCTTCTGCCTCCCTGTCCCCATATTGCTCCCTCCTCCCAGGATCTTCCTTCAGACCCTCCTAGGCTTAGAACACTCATGCTCCCAACTGCTCTCCCAATGAACTTACTTATCTTTCCAGGCCAGGGCTCTGTGCAGCCTTTCCCAGAGTTAATCCCACAGTACTCTGTTCCCCTAGGCACTTGGGACATTAAACATCAACTATGGGGAGCTGCAAACAAATAAGCAAAGCAGAAGTTAATAACTGACTGTTGCCTTTCTGGGAACGCAGAGTCCATGGTTGCCATGGTTTCCAATTTTTTGATCCAGCTTTTTAAAGTGAAATGTCCTATTTTTAAATGATGACATTTCCGGGGTGAGAGAAGGGATTGAGTGCACAAGGGAACAAATAAACTTTTTAAAATTAAGAGAACTGTTCTATATCTTGATTGTGGTGGTGGTTACACGAGGGTTAAAACTATATACTTAAATTGGTGAATTGTACTGCATGTAAACAAAAGGGAGGAAATGCTAGAAAGCAATTCAAAATTGTTTTAAACTGGGCAGGTCAAACAATACATCTGTTAGCCAAATCTGGACTGCAGGCTGCGAGTTCACAGCCTCGGTGTTTATTTTAAATTACCTGTTCACCTGCCTGTCTCATTCCTTGGGACTATAAATTCTCAATGGGCCGACACACTTCTAGCAAAGTATCTGACAAAGTAGTAAGTCAGTTGTAGTCATATCATATCGTATCATAAGCTGTGCAGACTCAAGCAAGTTGCTTCTTACTTTCTGAGGGGATTTTTGGTAAAAGAAGGGCTAACACCTGCTTCATAGGTCTAAAATGAGGATTAACAGAGAAGATTAATGTAAAAGTGCTTTATAAAATGTAAGATCATGTCAGCATTTCAAGAGCAAGTAGTCTAGTGGCAACCACCAAGGTTAGCTCAGAAAATCTCCACTTGTGATCGAAGAACAAAGAGTTAGAGAAAATGAGGCCAAGGGGTCCTAGGAAAACTTTTATATCTGAAGTCCACTAAAATAAATCAAGCCTATGATCTTTTACACCCTATTACATTAATAAGGCCGCTGTTAATGACCATTTACCTTAGATCCTGAGATGATGTCCTCAAGTTTAGCACAACATCCCACAGTTTAAGGTCAATGTTTGTTGAATGACTAAATGATACAAATGTGTGTCTGGTGATAATAAGGATGGTCATGATGGTGACATTGGGGCAGCAGGAGAAGGATGGCAAGAGATAAACTGTTATATTTGGAAGAAACTGCCTCTGGATTCTCTCCTTCAATTCAGGCACCTCTACTCTTTCCAGATTTAATTCCAAGGTTAGATTCCAAATGTCCAATCATGCATTTAAGGTTTTGGCAGACTCTCCAGAAAGTTAAGATTCTCAGTGCCACTGCTTGAGGGTCCAAGCTCTTCCAATTTCTTTCTCTCTACCTGCTTCCCCTTACCAGATTTAGACAAGCTCAGGTTAACATTCAGACTCCCTTCAGATCCTGTATCCATCTCCTTCACCCACATTTCCTCTGTCTTCCTTTTCTTCAACGCCTTTATTTTGAAGGTTCTTTTGCACCTCTTTATAGGTATACAATAATTTACTAAAATCTTTTTTAAAGTTAGCCAAACTCCGATTCAGAAAAGGATCCATCCATGTCAGTTGCAGCATCAAGGTCGGAGAAAACATTAGATTTCCTTAGGTTCATCTTTACCTCTGGTTCTGGGGGGTTTGTCTTCTTCCTCATCTAAGTCTATTTGGGCAACAGACTCTCACTTATTGCCCAAACTTTTGAGTAGCTCATTAATTTCACTTTCGTCGATACCAATGAATTTAAAGCCCATTCATCTTGCAGACTCTTGATTTTTTTCTTTTCTTCTAGGGAAATATGTACAATCATTCACAACATCGTCCCAAAGTTTCCACCAGGTTTTAGTAATAGCAGCTGGTTTTATATCATCCATTATCCCTTTTATCACTACCAAAATTTGTACTGTTGCCATGTTCCTTTCAAAGTAAGGCAAGGGTTTTTCCCAATATAGTCAGCAAAGTGATCAAACATGCTTGGCATGGTTACCTCCTGAATGCTTCAATTATACCCTGATCCAAGGGCTGATGATAGCTAGTGTCTTCCAGGAAGAAACACAGTATCACATTAGGATGAGCAAAGAATGAGTCTGGGTGATTGAGACTTCTAAAATTAGCAACACTCTGAATTCATGATTCTTCTGTTAAATAACTCTGGGCTTGATGATAAAAGAATCATGAAACCAATCCAAATGGAAGACCTGATCGCCAGAAAACTGGAAGGCATTTTTAATCTTTTAGCCAAAAGACAAGTGGAATTAGGGTCTTGCAGCAATGATTTTTATCTTTTTGTCACCTGCGGCGTTGGCACAAAAAATGGGCAAATCCTGTCCTTAGCTTCCCCTAAGATTTCTGGATTTTTTTTTTCCTTTTCCCCTAAAAGTACACGAAGGCATTCACTTCCAAAACAAACTCATCTCCTTGGTGTTGAAAACCTGTTGAGGTACACAGCCTCTCACTCTGATTAGTTTCTGGAGTTGCTTGTAATACTTCGGTGCCGACCGGGCATTTAACGGTTCTTCTTCCTCCATTGACATCGAATTTTGCAAACTGCGGCAATTTCTAAACTTCTTAAACCATTCTTTGTTTGCGTGAAATTAATCTGGGTTGTCCTTCCGGTGGTTTCCACCAGATGCTTGTAATGGGTTTGGCTTATCTGCAGATGGCCTTCGGTGTTAGAGACCGGTCCCCTATGGTCTGGTCCGGTCCTCCACTCAAGTGGTTAACTCAGTCTCCATCTTCTCGATGTTTTACGTACGGGAAATGCACAGCACCTTGGAGTTGACGAACGAAACGCTCCATGATGGCCTTCTGGTTTTCCTTAATGGTGCTCATGGTTGATTCATTCACGCCAAAAAAAAAGAAGAAAATGCGCCCCACGTTGATGTGACTCACGCCTTCTTCCAGCTTCTCGAGAATTTTCACCTTGTCTTCCAAAGGCATGGCCCTCCGCCTCCTGATGTGTCTGGTCCAGGAGCAGGATGCCCACTGCCTCCGCTGTCTGGGGGTAACCACAGCCGCTGTCCAAGCTGCAGCCGGCTCTACTACTGCTTCTCCTGTCGCTGCCGCAAGCCTGGTTTGAGAGCCAGGAGGCCACCTGCGAGGCCCCTCAACCTTCGGTTGGTCCTCATTTTCACTATTCTGCTTGTCCAGCATTTGACGAGCCTTCGTTCTCCGTGGGAAATACGCAAGGCCACGGAAAATCGGACTGCATGACAAACTAAGCGGCGCCTAAAATGACGCCCCACTGCGACCCCGCAACCAGAAGCGACCGTTCGCTTGGCCCTAACGGTCCCTCACCTCGCGCGGCTGGGCAGTCTACGACCTCGCGCAGTCAGCCAGCTCCGCCTCGTCATTGGTGCGCCGGGGCGATTCGCCGTCACAGCCAAAATTCGGAAAAGGGAGGTTGCGCCCGGCAGATCTCGCGAGACTCGCGAAGCATTCTGGGAGCAGGGCGGGAGGCGGGACGAGCTCCTGCGGGAGGGGGTATGATGGCGGCTCAGGTCCAGGCGTTGCTTAGGGAGGTGTCGCGGCTGGAAGCGCCGCTGGAGGAGCTGCGCGCGCTTCAGTCGGTGCTGCAGGCGGTGCCGCTCAGCGAGCTCCGCGAACAAGCGGCGGAACTGAGCCTTGGCCCGCTTTTCTCCTTGCTCAGTGCGAACCATCGGTGAGAGGACCCCGCAGCTTGAGCGGGAGAGACACCCCCAAGTATGGAGACGGGGGTGGGTAGGATGAGGGGAGGGCTTTTTCTAGTCGTAATGAAAGTAAAAAAAAAAAAAAATAGCTGAAATTTCAGGGACGGAAGGCTCTTGGGGTGAGAGGCAAGAGACGAGGTTCAAGTCCAGCCTCTGAGATGTGTCCCTGACCATCTCCTGGCCACACTTCATCCTGGAAATAGGAATTGAAGGGGAAAAGTAAGATTGCCCACCTACAGGGAGAACTCCACAATTATGTGTACAAGGTCTTGATTTTTTTTCCCTCTTAAGATGGGGTCCTATCTTGGCAATTTGGCAAGATCCATCAACATGCAGTATACATGCAGGCATAGTCGCACAAAATGTCCTGTATGTACAGGAGTATTTTAACAAGGTGACAGCAAAAATCTTGAAACAACCTAAATATCAATTAAAAAGGGATTCTAAATAAATTATGACACATTACCCAGCAACACTATACACCTCTTAGAAAAGTTGAGGTAGAGCTACAGATGTGGGCATGGAAAGATCTCTAATATATGTTGTTGAATGAAAAAAACTGTAGGAGTTTATGATTACATTATGAGTGATTTTTTAAAAGGATTACACACACACAAAAGACACAAACACACAGGTTAGTATAACATTGGGACTATCTGAAAGGTACAGCAGAAACTATTAATATGGAAGTGGGACTTAGAATGACAGGATGGCAACTTTTTTCATTTTATGCAAATATGTAGTGTGTGATTTGAAAACACTTTGTATTTGATAATTTCAAAGAGTTTAAAAATATTTGTGATCCAGAAACTTTCTACTTGAAAAGATAGTCACTGAAATGACACTGGATTTCAGAGGGCTTTCTTGGCTCTGCCCTAAGATTCCTCTCTTTTTCATATGTGTTTCCGTTTCGTTAAATCCATTAGTTAACATTATTTAGGCCAGCCTATAAAATATCTTTTATTTGTCCACTTTAATTCAGGCCCTTATTTTCTCCCTCTTGCTAGGTCTATCACATTAGTCTGACTTATTACCTGTAGGCTTTCTTTTCTAGCATATCCTTCCCATGCTGCAACTACAATGAACTTCTCAGTTCATTTAAACCTGGCTGCATTGTAAAATCATGACTTCTTAGTCTGACATTTGGACCCTTAAATCATACTTTTCCAGCCTCATCTTTTCCCTTCATTCCCCAACACATTTCGTCTGCTCCAGCTACCATGTGGCACCTCTTAACTTTCCCTTGAGCATGACTTTGTACTTTCCTAACTTTGTTCGTGCCAGTCTTTCTGACAGAAATGCCCTTTCCTTCTCCATCCCTTAAGGCCCAGGCAAAGTGCCTTCCTCTCCAAAAAGTAATGGTCACTCCAGTTGCAAGTGACTGGTCCTCAGATCTCCTGAAAGACATATTTCTGTTAATGATACTTGACACTGTTGCCTTATGTTATAATTCCGTATGTATTTATTTCTAGTTTGTAAATTCTTTGAAGGCAGGAGTATATTTTGTTCATCTTTTTATCCCTCCTAGGGCACAGAACATAATATAATATATGCCCAATAAAAGATTAGACTCAATTTTAGGTACCTAGTCCAACCACTTTCTATTATGGATGAAGAGACTTTCAAAGGTCATACTGTAAGTTAATGTCAGAGATGCAATAGGAACTGAAATGAAGGGGAGTTTGAAGCATAAAGTCATTGGGGGAGATGGTTTGGTGAATGAAGAAGCAGTGATCTAGGAAAAAATTTTAATGGAAATTTAAAGACAGGGTAATTCAGAACTGAGTACATAGTAGATCCAATTGCAATTTGTGGAAGTAATTCTTCTCTGGGTAGACTGAGTGTCCAGATGTATTGGTATTATCCTGACTAAACCACACAGGTTGCTATACACTGGTTCAGTATCTGATCTAATGTAAATGTAGATAGGAGTTTTTGTGAGGGAAATTAAGTCTTAAGATTACTGCTTAGCATCATGGAAGTTAAACAAGACTGATTGTTAAGTTATTAACTGTTTGGCTTCTTGGTACCAAAGGGCCACATGTGATCTGAAATTTGTGCACTATACAGTGTAAACTACCATCCATGTTGTAGCATGGATAAGTACTTCATTCCTTTTTACGACTGAATAATATTCCATTTTGTGGATATACCACATTTATACATTCATTAATTAATGGGTATTTGGTTGTTTCCACTTCTGTGAATATTCATGTACAGATTTTTGTGTGGACATGTTTTCAATGATCTTAGATATAAAAGCATTCTTAATTAGGCTTAATTATGCAAAGTTCAATCCCTAAATTAAAAGGATATGTTTGTTTTTAGGGCTTTTGCTATGTATTGGTTAATCACCTTTTAGAAAGGTTGTACAAATTTAGCTGTATACTATTATTAGTGTGTGAGTGCCCATTTACTTGCACTGCCTATTAAGAGAAAAGGAAGTTATTTTTGAACACCTTCTGCATCTATATCTAGTAGTCATCAAGTTCTGATTAATTTACCTCTTTACTAGTTTTTGAACCTTTTCCCTCTTCTTTATCCCTGCTGCTACCCGCCCCCCCCCCCACTTTTACTCTTTCATCACTTCTCAATATCAAGTGCCTTCTAACTGAAAATTCTTTCTCTATCAGTGATGCAGAGTGATTTTCTGTAAGATCTCTTCATGTTACACTCTGCTTTAAAACCACTTCTTACTGATCATTGCCTTCTGGAAAAAGGCTAAATTTCAGAGCAGGACATAAAAGACCTATCAGATTCTGACTTCCGTGCATTTTTCCTGTTTAATTTCTTGCCATTCATTTTCCCCCTGTTAACCTCCTGACTTCTCTCCCATTCTGACCCTATAACCCACGCTACTTGTGGTTCCTTGAATGCATAGCGCTGTCTCATTCATCTGTGCCTTCCCATGTGCTTTTACTCCCTCTACCTGAAACACCTTTCTTCTAGAGAACTCCCACTTTTTCTTAAAATTTAGCTTAGGTGTACCCTGTACCCTGTTTTCTTCACTGAGCTCTCACAGCTTCCAACTCCAACCTAGCATTATCTACCTGGATTATAGTTGCCTTTCTGTTTTTCTATGTCTTCCATTAGACTGAGCTTCTTGAGGTTATAGAATATATCTTATCCTTTTTTGTAGCCCCAGCACAGGCGTGACATATAATAGGTAATTAGCGTTTAATAAATTAGTAGAAGCTGGTATTTCAAAGGAAAGTCTATGGAGAAGACCTCATTGAGCTGGGTGTCAGATATTATTAGGTTATTACTTCCTACCTGGCAGGACATGAAATAATGAGGTCTGTGGTATCTCCTTTAGGGAACAGACAACTTTGTGTGTATCCATCTTGGAGAGATTGCTCCAAGCTATGGAGCCAGTTCACGTGGCCCGGAACCTCAAGTTTGACCTGCAGAGGGGACTGACTCACCCTGATGATTCTGTAAAAATCCTCACTCTGTCCCAGGTATGAAATTTTGCTAGCACATGATAAGAGAACCAACATTTAGTGACCATCTGCTTTGGGCTAAATTCTATGCTGGGTGCCAAAAACAGGTAAAGAAAAAAAACCTACATAGTGTGCAGTCTATTCTTGTTTGCATAGCTAACTACTACCAGGGGGATACATGCTAAAGTAAAAAGTTTCACTGAGTACTGTCAGCATCATTCATTCAGCAAATACTGAGTTTCTTTTATATGCCAGGCATTGTATCATATGCCGTAAGAGCTAACTAGATAAATAAAACCTATTTCTTTCCTTCAGGGAGCCCCTAGTCTAGAGAAAAAAAAAATTGTTGTGTTAAGTCTTATTATGGTGATATGAACAA